AACGGCATAATAAGTTTGAATTTTGCTTTAATCGAACTTTTTATACACAGCTACCTGTTTTAAAATATTTTGATGGTTTTTATTTTGTATTTTGTAGATTGAACCAGTATGAATCCAATGGAACGATTTCGATCGAATTTGAAAGTAGCATGTATGCTGAAAATTGAACCCGAAACATGGTTTTCTCCACATTTAGCAGCCTATATTAGGCATGTCGCATCATATTATCAAGTAGATGCACATGCTATGGTATTAGCCATTATAAATGGTATAGCCACTACGTGCCGTTCAACTTATGTTAATCGAACATCCCATTTTATGGTGCCATGTAATTTATATAATATTTTGGTGGCACGTTCAGGTTAATATTGATGTTTTACATTTTCTTTTTAAATATTGACAACATAACTTTTAGTCATACTTGTTTTTTTGTTTTTTTTATAGGGTATAGTAAGTCCAACATTCTTGACTTGGCACAATTAATTGGAGAAACAGCTGCTGTTTATTTTCAGCAATCAGAAGAAAATAAAGAAGATGAAATTCGTGAAGAAAATTCTTCTGAAATATCAGGTTTATCTGTTGTTTCAACAGTAACAACAAAAAACGTTTTAAGAAAAAGTATTAAAGTGGTTTTCAACGATGGTACACCAGCAGGAATTTTAAACAACTTAAAGCAATGTGCAAGAACAATGCACTTACATGAAGCTGATGTAACATTAAAAAGTTTTGGTTTATTGCTACCATCACCATTTGATATTACACCACCAAAATTAGATTCATTTCGTTCAACATTAATGACGCTACATGAAAAACCAGGTCATTTTTGTCGTATTTTAAAAAACGAAGAAATAGATATTTCTGGTTCCAAATTGAATATTTTTGTACGTAAGATTTTTTTTTTTAAAGATAATTTTTTACACGTTTTTTAGGGAGCGTCTACCGGTGATTTAGTTGCTGCTGAATTAGTTAGACAAGCAGCATCATTATCAGCTGATGCTCTTTTTGAACGTTTTCTTTTATGGCCTTTAGACGGTGAACCAATTCCGAACGAAAAATGTATTACGTCAATTGATTATTCTCAATTTTGTTCTTTAGAACAATTTTCAGTTTTGTGTGGGTTTTTTGCCGATCTTATTCTGGAATTGGAACCAGTTGGAAAACAGATTTTAGCTGATCAAGCATACGAATTTCGTATAACAGGTATGTACACTAAATATTTTTCCGAAGAAAAAAAATGTTCAAGAAGTTTGTAAACTGGAAGATATATTTATCTTATATATTATAATGTTTTAAAATAGTTTCTTTAAATTCTAGGAAGTGAACCAGATACCAAAGATAATGTATCTGCAAGATTAAATAAAACTGCTCTTGGTGCATATCGTATAGCTGGTCTTTGTGCTTTAGCAGAAGCAGCATTCGATTTGGTCCCGGTTTTTATCAACAATTATGTTACATTTGGTAATGGAAAAGCTGATCAAACTTTTTTTCGTCGAGCAACTGAAATTGCTACTGCACGATATGGTTCAATATTACGTAAAGAAGAAAATTTTATTATTACTACTGAAATATGTAAAAGAGCACAAAGTGTAACAGTGCAAAATCTAGCACAATATATGAGTTTGATGAAAATATTACCTGAAGATAAAAAAAACTGGATTGGTACATCTGGAAGATTTATGAAACCAGTTATGATAAATAATACAAGAGATGAGAACTGCGAATCAGCTGAATCAATTGATACATTTTCAAGATCTATTAATATATCACGTCAAACAACGTTACCATTAACCAGAAAACAGGAAAACATGATTAAAAACAGCAACAAATATAAAACTTGGATTTTATTGCACAATTCTTTAATTTTTATTAAAAGTAATCTTTATACTAATAGCTTTCTAAAGAAAGCTAGTTCAATATTAGAATCAAATTTTCTTATACCATTGGTTAATGATGGATACTTATTATCTGTACCAAATGGTCTTATTTGCACTAAAAGCAAATCAACAGTTTATGTGAAAATAATACCTTCTGATGATGATGATTCAAGAGAAAAATTTTGTGAATTATTGAGTAAAATAAATAATGAACGACTAAATTACAACACGTATATGGAATCTTGTAAAAATATTTCGCTTAACACGGTGGGTGTGGTGAGTCAAGATTTTATGAAAATACTTCAACAAGAACGTTATCAACGTTTAAATATTGATTTTACATATCTTTTACGACGAAATAATAGTGAAAATCAAATTAGACTTAGTGGTAAGATGTTTTGATATCAATTTATAAAAAAAATGGTATGTGTATGTTTTTTTTAAATTTTAGATGCTCCTTCGTCCATATTAACAGAAGATACTCGATCTACATATAGTGAAAATGTCTTCACAATGGATGATGACAATTATTCAACAACTAATATAATATATAAAACAAATTTACCGCGTCATACAACTAATAACAACTATCCACTTGATATAATTTTGAATAGTAGGTTGAAAATAACTCTATTCATATAGTAGAAATTTTTATTTTATTTAGATGATGAAAGTATGTCCAACAATCAACTAATGGTAACACATGAAGAAATAATTGAAGATCAATTTGAAGTGTCTTGTGTCGAACATGATCTCGTGAGTATTCATTGAAAATAATAGTGTACCATAGATGTGATGAAAATATAAAACTGTTTAACAATTTAATAAATATTATGTCTTTCATTTTAGATGACCACGGAATCTTCTATCGATGAACAAGATAATATTGTTTGTGAACAAATATTTCACGAAAATTCAGTTAAAGGTAATATAATTTCTTTTATTTTTATGAATTATTATATATAATTGTTCAACAAACAATACAATAGATAAAACAAATGCTGAACATGACACAATCAACAACAATCATCCACCTGATATATATTTGAGCAGTATGTTGAAAATAATTCTCATCATATAATAGAATTTTTTATTTTATTTAGATGATGATAATGATGAAAGTATGTCCAATGTTGATCAACTAATGATAGTACAGGAAGAAATAATTGAAGATCAATTTCATATATCTCGTATTGTACAAGATCTCGTGAGTATTCATTGAAAATAATAGTGTACCATAGATATGATGAAAATATAAAACTGTTTAACAATTTGATAAATATTATGTCTTTCATTTTAGATGACCACAAAATCTTCTACCAATGAACAAGATAATATTGTTTGTGAACAAACACTTCACGAAAATTCAATTGAAGGTAATATAGTTTCATTTATTTTTTTTTGAATTATTATATCGCATATATTTATATATAGATGAATACACTGTTGAAACTATCGTTGATAGAATAAAGAATCGTAAACGCAAACGTACCAATGCGTCTTTTAAATAACAATTAAAAAGAAAACTTTAATCAACTAGCATTTTGTTGTAGTCAGATATTAAACTTTTTTTCTTCATCTATTTTTTGTACTTGTTATTTAACACAGATAAAACTGTCAGAAACTTTATTATGTGTTTTTTATTAATTAAACAAAACGTGATAAAGTTTTATAATGTCTTTTTTTAATTATAGTTCTCGTCGTATTTATTATTATAAAGAGCTTTGACAGGTGTACTTGATGTCTCAATTACAAAATAAAAAAAAATACGATGTATTGTTGGATAAGTTCTTGAGCACTGACAATTCTATCGAGAAAAACGAAAGTGAGCAAATGCAGCAGTGGCTTCAAGATGCTGCGACTAAATTACAAAGTCAATTCCAAAATCATCGAGGTGAGACAACAAACAATTTTGTTAAGATACGCATAACATTATATTATATGTAGGCAATTCTCAACAAATTAAAAATGTCGTAAATGGAGAAAAAGACTCGTTCAATTATACAGATGAGTTGGAAATTGGCACATGTGCATCATTATCAAGTAATTCTTCCGATGATGAATCAGATGAGAAAAAGAAAAAGGTACCTGTTTTTTTTCTTGTCTTTTTAATAATGATGTTGGAATTATGTTTATCTTATTGTAGATCAATAAACGTTCGCGCGAAAGCTACGTATCCGAAATCAATACACCATTAGCAAAACGATTAAATACAGATCAATTATTTTTAAACGACGTCTTAAATTTCAACATGATTTCTCTCACAGCTGATTCAATAAACAAAAATATAAACAACAAAAACAATGACAATCATCAAATGTCTGCCATATCTACTTATCAATCGAAAATTCAAACGTCTCAATCTATCTTCGAACAAAAGAATGGAAAAGATTTTATGCCAGAAGCAAGATCCACAAATACGTCAAGCATTCCGAAGCAATTATCGGATCTACCAAAAAATACTAACACGAATTTAGAACAACAATTACTTATGCAACAAACAACATCTAAGGTTAATTGTTATAATTCAACGTGGATATGGCCAGTGGGCATTTCATATCAACCTGATTTTATTGAAATCGTGGTTACTGATGATGAAATGAGTGCATATTGGGATACAATAATAGACTGGTTTTAAATGTTTTTTTTTATCTTGAATTAGGACTTTGATATATCATTCTTTTAAAAAAATATTTATAAAAGAAATGGTAAGATAAAAAGTTTTATGTTTTAGATTTACATATTGAATATGGATAAACCCTCAAGTCGAACTAGTTCAATGGAAATGAAAATATTGACTGAAGTGTACGAAAAATTTCATCCTCAAGAATTATATTTTTTACTTGAATTAAATGAAAAATGGTCCAAATATGATCCAAATCGAATTCAAAACATGACCACTATCTTAAGACAAACTTTTTCATCTCAACATAAGGAATCAGATACAGAACAAATTATAACATATTTTAATTCAGAAAATTGTATTCGTCTGTTTCCTCCAGTAACTGCCAACATGGTTCTTATACAAAGAGATCAAACAGTTCATCTAAATCCATATCAATCAACATGTCCAATTTGTTCATCTATACTTTTAGCTGAAATGGCAGATGTATTATCTGTTGATATTTATAATTTAAAGGGTAAAACAAGTAAAGGTAAAAACCTTTCTTACAAAGATTTCAAACTAATATTGAATTTTTTTTTTAGGTAAAGTGTTTTTTGTGTCATGTAGACATAGCAACACCACATTCAACATGCATCCTATTGTTTATGTATTTCCAAATTATTTTCGACAAGATAAAATAAATGTTTTTACAACAAAGAGTTTACAAAATGGTGANTATGTTTTTTTTAAATTTTAGATGCTCCTTCGTCCATATTAACAGAAGATACTCGATCTACATACAGTGAAAATGTCTTCACAATGGATGATGACAATTATTCAACAATTATGTTACATTTGGTAATGGAAAAGCTGATCAAACTTTTTTTCGTCGAGCAACTGAAAATGCTACTGCACGATATGGTTCAATATTACGTAAAGAAGACAATCTTATTATTACTACTGAAATATGTAAAAGAGCACAAAGTGTAACAGTGCAAAATCTAGCACAATATATTAGTTTGATGAAAATATTACCTGAAGATAAAAAAAACTGGATTGGTACATCTGGAAGATTTATGAAACCAGTTATGATAAATAATACAAGATATGAGAACTGTGAATCAGCTGAATCACTTGATACATTTCCAAGATCTATTAATATATCACGTCAAACAACGTTACCATTAACCCGAAAACAGGAAAACATGATTAAAAACAGCAATAGATATAAAACTTGGATTTTATTGCACAATTCTTTGATTTTTATTAAAAGTAATCTTTATACTAATAGCTTTCTAAAGAAAGCTAGTTCAATATTAGAAGCAAATTTTCTTATACCATTGGTTAATGATGGATACTTATTATCTGTACCAAATGGTCTTATTTGCACAAAAAGCAAATCAACAGTTTATGTGAAAATAATACCTTCTGATGATGATGATACAAGAGAAAAGTTTTGTGAATTATTGAGTAAAATACATAATGAACGACTAAATTACAACACGTATATGGAATCTTGTAAAAGTATTTCGCTTAACACGGTGGGTGTGGTGAGTCAAGATGTTATGAAAATACTTCAACAAGAACGCTATCAACGTTTAAATATTGATTTTACATATCTTTTACGACGAAATCATAATGAAAATCAAATTAGGCTTAGTGGTAAGATGTTTTGATATCCATTTATAAAAAAAATGGTATGTGTATGTTTTTGTTAAAATTTAGATGTTCCTTCGTCCATATTAACAGAAGATAATCAATCTACATACAGTGAAAATGTCTTCACAATGGATGATGACAATTATTCAACAATTAATATAATGTATAAAACCAATTTACAGCGTCATACAACTAATAACAACTATCCACTTGATATGATTTTGAATAGTAGGTTGAAAATAATTTTATTCATATAGTAGAAATTTTTATTTTATTTAGATGATGAAAGTATGTCCAACAATCAACTAGTGGTAACACATGAAGAAATAATTGAAGATCAATTTGAATTGTCCTGTGTCGAACATGATCTCGTGAGTATTCCTTGAAAATAATAGTGTACCATAGATGTGATGAAAATATAAACCTGTTTAACGATTCAATAAATATTATGTCTTTCATTTTAGATGACCACGGAATCTTCTACCAATGAACAAGACAATATTGTTTGCGAACAAATATTTCACGAAAATTCATTTAAAGGTAATATAATTTCATTTATTTTTATGAATTATTATATATAATTCTTCAACAAATATTACAATAGATAAAACAAATGCTGAACATGAGACAATCAATAACAATCATCCACCTGATATATATTTGAGCAGTATGTTGAAAATAATTCTCATCATATAATAAAAAATTTTTTTAATTTAGATGATAATAATAATGAAAGTATGTTCAATGTTGATCAACTAATGATAATACAAGAAGAAATAATTGAAGATCAATTTCATATATCTCGTATTGTACAAGATCTCGTGAGTATTCATTGAAAATAATAGTGTACCATATATATGATGAAAATATAAAACTGTTTAACAATTCAATAAATATTATGTCTTTCATTTTAGATGACCACAAAATCTTCTACCAATGAAGAAGATAATATTGTTTGTGAACAAACACATCACGAAAATTCAATTGAAGGTAATATAGTTTCATTTTTTTTTGAATTATTATATAATATATATTTATATATAGATGAATACACTGTTCAAACTATCGCTGATAGAATTAAGAATCGTAAACGCAAACGTACCAATGCATCTTTTTAATAACAATTAAAAAGAAAACTTTAATCAACTAGCATTTCGTTGTAGTCAGATATTAAACTTTTTTTCTTCATCTATTTTTTGTACTTGTTATTTAACACAGATAAAACTGTCAGAAACTTCATTATGTTTTTTATTAATCAAAAAAACCGTGATAAAGTTTTATAATGTCCTTTTTTAATTATAGTTCTCATCGTATCTACTATTATAAAGAGCTTTGACAGGTATACTTGATGTCTCAATCACAAAATAAAAAAAAATACGATGTATTGTTGGATAAGTTCTTGAGCACTGGCAATTCTATGGAGAAAAATGAAAGTGAGCAAATGAAGCAGTGGCTTGAAGATGCTGCGACTAAATTACGAAGTCAATCCCAAAGTCATCGAGGTGAGACAACAAACAATTTTGTTAAGATACGCATAACATTATATTATATGTAGGCAATTCTCAACAAATTAAAAATGTCGTAAATAAAGAAAAAGACTCGTTCAATTACACAGATGAGTTTGAAATTGGCGCATGTGCATCATTATCAAGTGATTCTTCCGATGATGAATCGGATGAGAAAAAGGTATCTGTTTTTTTTCTTGTCTTTTTTAATAATGATGTTGGAATTATGTTTATCTTATTGTAGATCAATAAACGTTCGCGCGAAAGCTATGTATCCGAAATCAATACACCATTAGCAAAACGATTAAATACAGATCAATTACTTTTAAACGACGTCTTAAATTTCAACATGATTTCTCTCACAGCTGATTCAATAAACAAAAATATAAGCAATAAAAACAATGACAATCATCAAATGTCTGCCATATCTACTTCTCAATCGAAAATTCCAACGTCTCAATCTATCTTCGAACAAAAGAATGGAAAAGATTTTATGCCAGAAGCAAGATCCACAAATACGTCAAGCATTCCAAAACAATTATCGAATCTACCAAAAAATACTAACATGAATTTAGAACAACAATTACTTATGCAACAAACAACATCTAAAGTTAATTGTTATAATTCAACGTGCATATGGCCAGTAGGCATTTCATATCAACCTGATTTTATTGAAATCGTGGTTACTGATGATGAAATGAAAGCATATTGGGATACAATAATAGACTGGTTTTAAATTTTTTTTTATCTTGAATTAGGACTTTGATATATCATTCTTTTAAAAAAATATTTATAAAAGAAATGGTAAGATAAAAAATTTTATGTTTTAGATTTACCTATTGAATATGGATAAACCCTTAAGTCGAACTAGTTCAATGGAAATGAAAATATTGACTGAACTGTACGAAAAATTTCATCCTCAAGAATTATATTTTTTACTTGAATTAAATGGAAAATGGTCTAAATATGATCCAAATCGAATTCAAAACATGACCACTATCTTAAGACAAACTTTTTCATCTCAACATATGGAATCAGATATAGAACAAATTATAACGTATTTTAATTCAGAAAATTGTATTCGTCTGTTTCCTCCAGTAACTGTCAACATGGTTCTTACACAAAGAGATCAAACAGTTCATTTAAATCCATATCAATCAACATGTCCAATATGTTCATCTATACTTTTAGCCGAAATGGCAGATGTATTATCTGTTGATATTTATACTTTAAAGGGTAAAACAAGTAAAGGTAAAAACCTTTCTTACAAAGATTTCAAACTAATATTGAACTTTTTTTCTTCAGGTAAAGTGTTTTTTGTGTCATGTAGACATAGCAACACCACATTCAACATGCATCCTATTGTTTATGTATTTCCAAATTATTTTCGACAAGATAAAATAAATGTTTTTACAACAAAGAGTTTACAAAATGGTGATATGATATATTTAGGTGGTAAACAAGTTTTTGAAAGATCATTAATAGAAAATTACACATGTCAATTATTAGGCAGAGCTAGCTCATGGCAAAAATTTGTTGATGGACTTAATCTAGATGCATTTAATTCAAATTTGATCGATACGAAAAGTGAATGGAGAAAGAAATTGGCAGTAGCATTTATCAAATATAAAATAGTTGAATATGATTTATCGATAGGTTCACCAGTTGTTTCAATACCATGCTCAGCTGTTGCATTTGACGAATGGCTATGGAATGGATTTCCACGTTTCCTTTCATCATTTATTTATCTTTGGACTAATCATAAAACTTTGATTGGTGCTTGTTCATCTAGTTGTACTCAATGTATAATTATAGATGGACACCAAAAGTGTCGAAGACGTATTTGTCGTGCAAAACACGTACACCTCTCGACTGAAGAATTTACTTCTTTAAAAGTCGGTTGTTGTCGAACACCAGTTCTTGGTTCAAATTTTTGTCATTTACATCAATATTTAGAGAATAAGAATGATAGTACACCTACATCACCAAAGCAAAGATCCAATAAAAGCCGAATGATGATACAGAAAAATATACGAAGAAAATATCGACAACGTGGATTTGGAGCAACCAATTGTCGAACAATGAAAGAACGATCCAATAGATATGTTGAAAGATGTAGTCGATCTTTCGGTATTCTTGCAGTGGTTACTAATTGCAAAATAATTGTTTCTTATGCAGAAATATTTCGTTCAGAAACATTGCGCGAAATAATTAGTCTTATGTGTTCAACAATCCGAGGTAAATATAAAGAAATTTTGTTTTGAATATGATATTCTATGTATCTTTATACATTATATATAAACTATCGCAATGAAACAAGAAGATTAAAATTTATAATTGAAAATTTTCCCACATCATGTTACTAAACTAATTATTTGCTTTCTTTTTAGCATCTAACTTCAACTTTCCCAAATGTGGGGTATATGATGATGGATGTCACTTGGTTGAGTTTATTCGAAACCATTTTGGTGAAGACCTTTTACAAACACCTGCATCAAAAATCCTCTATGAAACACAATTCAGTGTTGATAAAACACATTTTCGAGGACATGTTGGCAAGTGGTGTAGGATTCATATGAACCCATACAAAAATAAAAGTGAGCTTTTTTTCAATATTAATAACACATTTATATGATTCTCACTGAATTAGTGCTCGATGGGATAAATACCCAAGCAGCGGAACAGCTATTTTCTTGGGTTAAGGGATACGCGAACATTTTAAGTTCTCTTGGTTGGCGTAAAATGCCTATTTATCTCTTATTACTATTCCACTATAAAAATCTCGAACGAGTTCATATTCGTCCAACACATATATTTAACATTGTAAGTTCTATTTAAAAAAAAAACTTTCAATTCAAATCGACTTTATATAGGCTTCGTCAGTACCTAATGTTCCAACAATCAATTTGGCATACTTGGCAGAAAAACAACAACGTCTTCATTATGAAGTAAGTATATTTTCGAACAAAACAAATTGAACGTGTTTAAATACAGGAAACAATCAAGAATCAAACTATTACGCCAATAACACATCGTGATACAGCTCCTAAAGTAAGAAAACTACAATAGTTGAACAACGTAATTTCTCTTTCGCCGTAGCAAATAATAACAATCTCGAATCATCAACTTCAAACAAATACCACATGTCGAACATCAACTGATCTCAACGCTTCTTATATGAATACTGTTGAACAGCTCGTTTTGCATATGGAACAATTGGCACAAATGGAACAAGATAAAAAAAAACGAAAATACAATCGACAGCAAAGAAAAAATCAAGCACGTCGAAAACAACGTCAACCAACATCAAACACAACACATTAGATGAAAAACAATTTCTTCCATTATCTGTTACTGCACTTCAATAACAAAATTGTTAAGTAAACAAACTTTCTTTAGAAACATTTTTTCATATTACATTTGATTATTATTTATTTTAGATAAGTGTTTACGATATTCTTTAAAAACAAATTAAGAAAAAAAAGATTCCAACACCACCATCAAATCAGACAAAATCATTGTATTAAGATTTCATTATTATTTTTGCTTTTTGTTAATAAAATTCTTATAGATATAAAACACTATTATATTCAAAGCAAATGCTTCATACACACGATGAGCTTTAAGACCTATATCTCAGTTAATATAATTAATTGTTAAAACGTTTTTTACAAATTATACATATCATAAATATCATTATGTTAGATAAATTTCCAAAGACTATACATAAACATGAGACATATACGTATATTTTCACAACCATAACAAAGACGTTGACCATACTTTGATAATTTATAAATAAACATATATTTTAAGATTCTTCCCCCATTTTCGTTTATTTCAGAAAAAAGGCTAATAAAACTTAAATTGTATGATAAATAAAAATTTCCATTAATTCTGAATTAAAATCATAATAAAGACTGAATAATAATTAACAAGAATCCTATCTCTACCTATGTGACTCTTATCCGTTTCTTCTTGTAAGTAGAGAAATCGTTAAAGCATTTCACCAGCTATTTTAACCATTTCATATGGAAAAAATCCACATCTATATAAAAAATCGCATATAAGAGAAAAAATAAAATAATCGATTAATCTTTGAATGAATTTCATTTCTCTTACTCCATTTCTCTACACTGAAATGGATGAAGCATTTCTCCTGCTATTTAAACCATTTCTGCTGGAAAAAATCCATATCTGCTAGAAAGTTCTATATAAGAGAGAAAATAAAATAATCGATTTCTCTTTGAATAAATCCATTTCTCTTTAGAAATAGAGAAATGGATGAAGCATTTCTCCTGCTATTTAAACCATTTCTGCTGGAAAATATCCATATCTGCTAGAAAGTTCTATATAAGAGAGAAAATAAAATAATCGATTTCCCATTTCTACTAGAAACATCCCTTAAGAAGAAAAAAAAAAATAATCCATTTCTCTCTAAGTCTTTTCGATTTCTCCTTATGGATGGAGATATGGATGAAGCACTTCTCTTTGAAAATTAACCATTTCCAATGGAAAATATCCATTTCTACTAGAAACATCCCTTAAGAAGAAAAAAAAATAAGGGGAATTCGATGTTGAAAAAAGAATTTCTGCTTATCTTTTTGAGGTTAAACCATTTCTTCTAGAAGTGGAACGGTTTCTCTATGAAGTGGGGAAATGGTCCACCCCTCACACTTGATTGTCATATATGCCAATGATACACAATTATCAACAACGATAACTTCTTCAAAAAAACGTAAATTCAAATGACTTTTTCATTTTCATAAGAATTTTTATTTGATTTATATATGCATTTTTCTTCAAATAATTTTGAGAATCTGTCAACTGGGGAATAATGAATATAGAACATCAAGATTTAATTGGACTATGATGAGAGATTTTTTTGTATTCATCATAAATCATCTGAACATTTTATGAAATGATATAAGAATTTCTATGAACTAATCATTTGCTCTTGATGTAATTGAGAAAAGCAACATTTTTCTTCAAAATCATACATAGTTAATAATGAATTCAGTTTTATAAATTTCATTTCATTCTTTTTGTTATCTTCTTATCAAATGAAATATTCAAGAAAGTTTAAATTAGTAAACTTTGATTGAAGTGACAGTACAAATTTCAGATTTAATTTGTTTTATTCTAAGATATATTTTCTTTTTAATTAGATCTGCAATAAATCATTTTTAATCTTAATATTGAAAGGAGAAAATAAGACTTCTATCAAGGTTGTTATATGAATTCATCATGTAATGTTTCTCAACAATGTCTAATGATTCATTCAAGTAGACGTCTATTTGTTTTGCATTCAAAAGATGGGTATGAGTGTGGGTGTGGGTAGTGGCTGGGTGTGCGTATGATCGGGAGCATCGAGAGTAGATCTAGACCCACATCCACCAGCCACACCCACACGCACACCCTCACACTCACATCCATATCCACACACCCACACTTACACACACATCCACACCCACACCCCACACACACACCCACATCCTCAAGTTTATAGGTTCTAGTATTGTTTGTCTTTTTTTTCTGTATGAAAATCAAATAAATTTTTTTTTTATTGAGTTTTTCATAAATGCATATTACAAAATACAACAATTTTCATCTTGCTGATGAACAACATCATATTTGCCTTCAGGTGTTTTTATTGTCTTAAAAGGTGCTCCGAGAGATTGAACTTTTTGACTAAATTCTTTACTAAGCAAATAATTGTAAGGAGCATCTGCAGAATTCCACAACTTGTCAAATTGGAGCGCATCTTGTTCAATTGTAAAGTATCCATCTTTTTTAATTACTCTTAAGAATATAAACCGGTGACCTCCAGCCACTACCTGGTGCATGTAAGAAGTTATTGAATATTTCGCTTTTGCAATAAGATCTTGTTCTTGATTAAGTCGATCAAAATCTAATACAGATACCAATATTTCAGGTGCATAATGTGATGGGTAAAGAAAAAGCTTTTTTGCACTTGAAGTTGTTCCTATTGTTTCAACTATATTATGTTCACCATGATCTAAAATCACATGAGTATTGCGACCATTAAAATCAGTAACACAAATTCTGATTGGCTCATCTGATTCATTGAAGACTATGCACCCTGTTTTACAACATTCGTTACTTTGATAGTAAAATGGGGGACTTGGTTGTGGTTTACCACAATCATGGCCCTTAAGTGTAACATCCCTTTCCAATTGACGAGACTGTTTAGATTCGATTAATACTAATTTTCCTAATTTTCTTTTGATGATTAAACCCATATTATAATGAAGAGTGTATGAGAATGTATTTTGATTAGAATTTAACGGTATTATAATGATTGTATTACAACCATATTTAGTCTCTCTACTCCATATTTCACCAGCCAATATTATCGCATCAGTTGGTTTGTTCTCCGTATCCATCAAACAAATTTTAACTGTCTCTTGTGTTGAATTATAAATATGAGGTACCACTTGACCCATTGTTTAAATGCTCCTATTAAGATTAAAAAAATTATTTTGTTATTTAGTTATTCAAAAACTTTTTGAATAGTTATTCTATTAGATCTCAAAAATATATTCGAGAGTGCTATTAAAGAAAGAGATTCTCTCGATTTTGATATACTTATGTACAATGAAGAAATTCTAGTGATTTCGAAACCAATATTTTGAAGAATGCTGATATTGTAAATGAAATAAGATTTGTCTGAGTTGTGATTTTTTTCACAGTGAATCGTATTCAATGTTTAAATTGATTCTGTAGCTAAGGGGAGAGTGCCCCCCCCCCCTTTAAATGTAATATTTTAGCATTGATGAATGATAGTTGAATAAATCTAGCAAGCGTGATTATATGTATGCTGATTCTAACGGCTGACTCTCACAAATTCCTCAATACTCGAGCCACATGGGTCACTTATTAGGAGTTGTATTTGCTTGCTTGTCAGGTTCATTTACAAATAGATTAAATGAGAATAATAATTAGAGATTCATCTATTTTTTTTTCCATTTGATTTGTTAATATCAAAATGTGAGAAGTTACGGTTTTTCATCGAAATTAGATAATTTAGGACAGTTTTTATAATATATAAAAAAATATACTTAAAGAGAATGTCATTATAAAAATTACAAAGAACAAGATTGAACTATATGAATATACATATAACTACAATTAATAATCAGGTACATTAATATTACAGACGAAATTGTTCTTCTAACAGGAGACACAAAATAAATAGCATAGTTATAATTTTTACTATAACTCAATCATTCAGACTGAATTTTCTTTTGAAAAAATATTTATATGTTTCATTTTGTTGTAAAAGTTTTCAGTTTAATTCTAAATTATAACAAGTAAAGATCCGAAAAAGAATCTCCTTTTTCTAAATACCGAAACGATGATGATCCATCAAAAATATCTCGAGAATATAATTAATCGATTAAATGAAACAACATTTTAGTTTTTATTTCAATCAATACAGTTCAAATTCTGTTTTCCACGAAGTGAAACACAGACAGTGGTAACCGAGCACAAATTACAACAAGTAGATAGTTTCAGAAAGAATCTTTTTTTTGTCATTTTCATAATAAGAAAATTAGTATATTTAACAAAAGTTTCGTAAACTGGTCCGAATCGGATTACAACTCTGCTACAATATCATTAATCAATGAAATGTTTTTTAAAGAAAAAATCTATTTTATCCATCTACGATTGAGGAACAACAAATCTTTTACTATACAAAGAAAAACAAAACAAAACTACCAGTGATGGGATCGGATCGGTTCGGTTCGGTTTGAAATTTTTTCGGTTCGATTCTAAATATTCGGAACCGATTTCCATTCAAATATATATTTAAATATATTTAACTTTGTTATAGTGCTCTAACATACATTTTTATTTCTTATTCTTTTCGCCTATTATTTCTCTCTCCCTCTTTTCTCTTCTACTTTCGTATCCGACCGTGACAATTTTAATAAATTATTACTCTTTTCTTCTGTTCTAAATGAAAGAGCATTCTAATAAAAGAACACATTGGACGTCATCTTCTTTATATAAAATAGTCTAGGCTGGAGTAGAGGATATTTATTCATCTCTCTCCTTGTATTTCACTTATATATTTCTCTCTCTCTTTTATATGAAAATACATGTATATATAAAAGAAAGAAGAAAAGGAAAGATAATAATTCGAATAAAATTGAATTTCGGCTGAATTGAACCGAAGATTTTACAAACATCAAGTTTCGTTACAGAGAAAGGGATCTGTAACAAACATATATACTAAGAATGGATAAAGAAAGTGTAGCAAAGGACCCTGTCGGATTTCTCAACCTATTCATTTAGAAAAACAAAATACTGGATTTTGTAGAGCTCGAAAAGTTACATCTAATGGTATATAGATCAGATTGGTTCCTATTCAATTTTACGAACTTTTTCTATAAGGAATATAGGTCGATGTTATCAGATATTTAGAGTTCACAGACTTAGACTATCATATGGAAATGGTCCTTATCAGAATATGAGAACAATTATTGTCTTACTTAGTTTTGTAGAGCTTTCTGCGCTCTACAATTTCGCTTATTTCATTATCGCGT